CGTCCGACGATAACCGTGCTCAGCGAAAGGAGAGTTAACTGCTGCGGTCGCGTGCCGAAGTAAGATTACAGACGCGGTTGCGTTTCGAAGTTAAGCCGACCCGGTTGTACTTGCCGAAGTTAAACCGCCCACATTTTACCCGGCCTTATTTAGCCGGCGGCGTTTCGACGCGTTCCGCCCGGCATCCGTGGAGGGAACTTTGCGATGCACTCTACTTTTTGCACGGGCGTATTTTTGCAAACTCGCGTTTCGTAAACTCGATACGGTTCGGCCCGATACGTTCGCGTGAACAGTAAAGAGCTCGCCGGTTGCATGTGGACGGTGCGTGTGGGCATGCATTTACGTACACGCCCGGCGCACACGCGTCGCGAGCGAGCGAACCCGCGTGCGATCAATTTTCAGCTACCCTGCACCGTGACACTTTTAATTTATCAGTTTAATTAACGGTATCTACGCCCGCTCGTCAATTACTACGAAAGCGGCGCTTTATGGCGCTGCACGCTTCCTTCGTATGCATGCTTCTCTCTCGTCGAAAGTAACAGAATCTGTAACACGGCCGGTATGTGTACGAGTCGATAATGAGTCTGGTTTTCATGTGACGAATAAAAATCTCGCGAATGAAATCCGCTCCTCCCGTGTCTCGCAATGTGTAGCGCGAATTCTCCCGACGTTCCGCCGAGAGCTAGCGCGGCGACTCGACGATATCGCTATGTATTCCTATCTCTCCGTTATTAAAAAGATTCAACGTGTATTAAATATTCTCGCGGGAACACGAGTTAGGTGTTCACTTGACGACAAGGAGACCAAACCACGTTTTGACTGGAAGGAACGGAATTTCTGGCTGCGAAATTCGAATTTCCGTTTCACCCTGAGAGATCCCCGCTTCCTTCCAGCGGAACGCGCATTTGTTTCATCATCAGACGCATTCAACCGACGTTTTTCTCCACGTATTAATTAAATGTATTTAATTTGCTAATTTCTCTTTAGTTCAAACCGCTAACATGATTCTCGGTCTCTGAAATGGGCGAACAGAAGCTTGTAAAAAAAGCTACACGTTTTCAATTAAATAGCGCGGAGTAAGCAACAAGCGCGAGAACCGTAAATAAACAAATGTGCACGCGTGTTTCTGCGTCGCGGGGTTGACGAGCACAGATTATGCATAGTATTTTCGAAAAAGGAACAGTGGCGAAATGAATCAACTTTGTTCCCGAGATTATATCTCACGCGTAAATCGGACGAGCCGAGCGAACACTGAGAGACAAATATTTCGTATTTGTAACTATAATCATCATAATGAAAGAATTAATCGGAAGTTAGGAGAGCGATTTTTCTAATAAGTGTTGCTATAATATAAACAATAATAACCTTACGTACATATTGATACTATTTTTGTGATTAAAAAACTAGAGAGTTCCGAATCAGAATGACGCCGATAGAAGGACTCCATCATGTTTTTAGCGAAATTGTAAAGGAAGAACAGATACGCGTAATGTATGTCTCAGTCTATCAAACAGCTGCAGTCAGTGAACATTGAAGCAGCGGCCAGTATAAGTTAATGTAAATAATATTGCTTTCTTTGTACCGTGAAACATTTATAACAATAATTGGACGCGCATGACCTTTTTGCAATAATTCCCGGGGAAGAGGATACTGTAAAAATAATTCCAAAAGACTCACAACATTCGAGTTCGATGGATGGACCAATATTAATGCTAATTATCAGATTGTTCGGAAAGTCCGTTTGAAATCTTCTATGCAAGTTCAGGACCGTAATGTTTTGCCTAAAGAGTAACTTTATTCAAGCAAAGGTGTGCCGCTTTGTTCACTGATTTTCACCGGTCTCTACAGGTAACCGTATATTAACTGTATATAAAACATGGCGAGCCGATCAAAAGTGGTATCCGATAGACGTCACTCTGATCAGAGGTTCTGCAGCTGGAAGCACAAAAAGAGTACGATTGAGGCCGGCGGACTAACTATAATTTTTCTCAATGAGGAAGCAACATCGATCGCGGACGCTCCCGAAAGGAACTCCCGCGTGGCAGCGCGTGCGCGCGCACGCGCACGAACATACATTCATACGAATTGCAAAAAGCGGTGTATGAAAAAATGAAGTGGCTGCCGGCTGCGTCTTGTCAATTGGGAATCGAGCGTGGTCGGCGCGGTCGAAAGGTTAGGCGAGACGCGAATTTAATTAATATCCAGCCGCGCATTGCGGCGCTTTTTATTTATCAGTTTAATTAATGGGTATCTGTGTATATGCAGGGGGCTTGCCAATTAAAACAGAATCAACGTCATCGGGTTTCGTAATTCCTTCGCGCCGGCGGCGCGCTCGCGAAAACTAGCGGGGCCCCGGCGAGAGGCAGTCGCGGGATTCCGCAGACGAGCGGCGGAATCCGATAAAATAACGGAAATATCGCGAATAGGGCGGCTCGAACGAGAAACGCCGATACATTCGGCGAGCGAAAGCACGCGCGGCACAGCGCGGCGACGAATATCCGCGCGAGTTTCTAGAAACGCTAATAATCTCACGGCGATATGTGGGTCGAAATTTACGGCGAACAACGACGACGACGACGATGTCAACGGCGATGAAACGACAGGAGCGCCATATAGCGAACGACCGTGCACGAATTACTCTTGTTAACATTGCACGGCTGTGCAACGTATGAGAGCGAGTCGGCGAAGCTTGGTCGGTATTAATGCACCCTGATGATAATTAATCCCGCGCGCAAACAAACGTCCCGAGGGATGTGCTCTACATACGGCGATTTTATTTACGACGAACTTAAAAATCCGCGTCGCGACTCCCGAACCAGCGAAACTCGCTTCTGTGAATGCGTGCATCTGTGTGTGTGTGTGTGTGTGTGTATGTGTAGGCGCACCGTGTTTCCTTTCACGGGAAAATTAACTCTTCGGCTTTTCACGGAGAAAATACGTGGACTCTCTAAATTAGCCGGAGAATTCGTAATTACCGCTGTACATCGCATTGCAGTATGTCGATACATGAAATAAGTTGATATCAGGGCTCTTCGGATATTCCATCACCGAACAAACGCTTCGAGACGAAAAAAAGCATCTAAGGTGATAATTACCAGTAGAGGAGAAGCACCAAAACTGACGTAGATAAACCGATATATCTATGTTTCTAGGCTGTAAGGTACTAAACCCTGTCGAGTACGTGAACTTCGTCTATTGCATACAGCAGTTGCAGCTGAAATGTGGCAGTATCCGTTCGCAAGCACGTTCGATTGTATTATTAGCGATGCTTGATTTTTCGTTCTGCTGAAGTTTCGGTTGAATTTTATCCCCGTGAAAATTAAAGCTACAAATCTGCGGTGATTGATTTGATAATGCTATTTTTTTATCGGGTGAGTTTTGAACTTTTTAAATCACCTTGGATCTTGTGCCAATTTTTATTTTCGATCACTGAACCACGCAAGGGAAAAATGAGGGTTAAGTTGTTCTGTGAACCGAGATACCTGTACTTATACTGGTCTTTCGATCGACATACCCGAATTTTGTTGTGAAATATCATTTCACAGAATGCAGTTAAAGCTACTGTCAACTGATTTTCCTCTGTTTTTCTTGTTTGTTAAGAATGAAGAAACGACATCGTAAAATCGGTCAAATTTTCCAAAATAAAATAGATTAAAAATAATATGTAGAGATATATAATAAATGTACAATACAAAATAATGTGATTTCTGTACTTTTATCATTTTTATAATTTTCTATAGATATCACGAGTGTGTCGACTCGGGGCCTAGTTTCTTGAAACGTCAATCCTTAAATATCTTAAGAAATAGTTATTTGCAAGGGAATATGTAATAATTTTCAGAAAGCTATCGTATATGTTGGTAGAGAAGAGTTTCTGATTTGTACATAGATTTTAATTTTACACTTTCAACGAGACTTAAGAGACTAAAAACAAAATAGTACATCAATTTTAGTGCTTTTCCTTTAATTATTTCTGCGGGAAAATAATAATGTCGACGAAGTATTGCGCGTGTCGAGGAATTTTCAGTCTTTTCGTTAATTGGTCGCCACCTTCTAAAGCCTAACCGACCCTATTTCGCGATAATATTATTTTTAGATTAAACCCAATTTCTTAGATTATGTGAAAACTGATCTGACGTTTAATACGTAATGTTACGAGAAATATTGTCTCAGCTAGGAATCGAATCCGGATTTTTCGCTCAGGAAAAATAGTCTGGTTGAATTTACTCGAAACGAACAAATCAAACGCATTTTGGTTGAAGGAAACAGAATTTCCGGCTTTTACATGCCCCGAATTCGGTTCTTATAACCAGAAATTCCGTTTCTTTCAATCAAAACATGCGATTAGTTCGTTCATTTCAACCAAACCGCTTTTCCCGTGCGTACTTGCCGAGTTGCCGGCGCTACAACCCGGCTACCGAGGTCTTAATATTCACCGCCGCAGTGACGCTTTTTTAGCTGACGTTATTATCTTCCTGCAGAAATAATCATTGGTAATAATCGTCCTGCGTGACCCTTGTTGGCTGAAAATATTTCTTCTTGACCGAATGTGTGAAATGTCCTATTTTTCGAGGGACGATGCCAAAACGCGGCAAAAGTCGAGCCGATTGTTCAACATTATTCAGAGGAAACAACACATACGCATACGCTTTAATACGCTGCAAATAAAACGGAATTTCGCGTATTCATCGGCCACCCGGTGTAAACGCGTTAAACATGTAAATATGATTTTTCACTCGCAGGTACGATCGAATGCGCAGCGTGCGCGCGCGCGCGAGGCGATCAATACTCGCTAATATCTACACAGCATGCGTGGTGCATATACGCTGTAACGTAATAAACCTTCGTATTATGAGCACAGGGAAAGGAGGTCGGTCAGAAGAAAACTGCGTGTGCGGCCGCGTTTATCGCGAAATTTCTCTTATTTACATTCATTAACGGGAGCCCGCTCGTGTTAGTGTAAAGTAAACGATCTCGAGTGCACGTGCAGCAGGTCTTACCTTCTCTATTATGCATACGAGGTTTATGATAGATCCTACGTCGACGTGATGCTCGTCGCTCCCTAATATAAACGCCTCTGGTATCACTATATTTAGATTGACGAAGTGTGACAGTATCCCTGTGTTTCTCGAGACCTGAAAAATAAAGGACATCGCGATGAGTTCGTTTCTCATGAGCTTGCGTGTAATATTCTCTCTCTCTCTCTCTCTCTTGTTGTATATGGGAGAAAAAGTTTGGTGGAATTCAGCCGATAATGAAATGCGACTCGGTTAAAGGTTAAAAGGAAGAGAATTTTGGTTTTATGAACCAAATTCGATCCTCAACCTGAAATCCTGTTCCTTTCAAGCAAAACGCGTCTGGTTCATTGACACATTGAAAAAATGCTACCTTTAAAATAATATTTACTCGACACAAGTATATAAAATGGTTACCCCTTGGAAATATTTATTTACTAGACAAAAAAATCTAAACTTAAAACCACTAGGTTTCTTCTCAGTGGAAAAGAAATATTGCGTAATTCCAGTAAATATTCTTTCGGATTTCAAATCATTTTACACATATATTCAGTAATTTATCTACAAATTAAGTATTACCGAACTCTAATGAGTATTTCTATGAACTGTTAAAAAATATACTTAAATTGAAAAAAAATATTAACTTAATTTTTTGAAAGCTGGGAAACAGGCAATTACGCTTACTTGATTTCAGCACTTTTTCTTGTGCAGGTAAATTCAGCTGAACTTTTTCCGTGTATTATGAAAAAAAAAAAAATACTGCGGATAGAGAGAAAACCGGGCGAAATTCCTGAATGAAGATCCTTATTTTGTACATTAGAAACAATGAAATAGTTTCAGTTCGCAAATCTTAAGTTATTATATCGGTGGCGGTCGTTATACAAGACCTATAATGGACCGTTGAATAATATATGTATGTACCGCAAAGCGCGTGCGCGCGCGCTGTCACGACGTTGTAGCAAGCGCGAGAGGGAAGTAATTAAATGAAAAAGTGGAACGTTATATCGATTCAAGAATCTCCTCGACACCGAGATACATGAGAACGAGAAGAGATTATAGCGCGCTCCCGAAACATGACCGAAATTACAATTACAATTTTAATTAGAAACCTTAACTGCGCGTATCGCGGAAATTTCTTTCTGGAAATTTCGGCTTCTTTCGCGCAGCTTTGTTAAAATAACAAGACAAGCACGACGATAGAATTATCCCGTTGCTGAACTTTTCCGCGGAAATAAATGATAGGCCTGCTCATTTCCTCCTCAGTCGCATTTATCTTCTGGTCTCGCTCGAGAAACAATACGCGATCTTTTTTTCTTTCGAACGCGTCCGTTTGGAAACTCTCCAACTCAAGTATTATCGGCTGCCATTGAATACACACTCATACACACATACATACATACATACATATAAATAAATAAATAAATAAATAAATATATATATATATATATATAGAGAGAGAGAGAGAGAGAGAGAGAGAGAGAGAAAATCGGGCAAAACTATATATATCATGTACAGCATACACACACACACACACACATGTAATTTTAGTGCACTGTAGCGGACGTGGTGGATGTACGGCGAACTTGGAGCCAGTAGAAAAGTTCGCCGCAGGACAATGGTCTCGCAGGCGGGGTACGGCGCGCGCGCGCGCGCATAAAAAAGCATTATGCGAGTTTGAGAAGCGTATCGTTCCGCTGCCAACTTGGAGCGCGCCGGCCGTCTCGTCGTGAACTTTCTTGACTCACTGCGAACAGCGTCGGGCGCGTCCTCGAGATGCGCCACTTTCCAGCGCGCGGTACGCGCGCAGCGGGTAGGTACGCGGCCGTCGCGGTAAAAACCGCGAATAAATATACCAGTCGGATGTCGGCTGATGGTATTTTTTTCAAACGCTTTTACGCTATAGCCGACGCGCGCGAGCGCCTTCTGCCTGCGTATACGTCGCGGTTATGAAACGTCATGAAACGCCTCGCTGCTCTCGCCGCTCTCGCCGCTTCCCTCGGCTTTTTTCCCCTGTTTTCAAAGAGATACATGCGGCGGAGAGAGCGCGAGAGGAGCGAGAAAGAGGGAGGGTGCGGGGAGGGGGGAGGGAATCCTGGCTGGCTGTACGCGCTGTATACGCGTCCGCCATTGTCGCGCGCCGGTGTATAATCGCATTAATAAAACGGTATATTCTATGGACGACGTGTTATAATAGCGGCGAAACCTTGTGTGCTTTTGCATGACAAAGGAGGAAATTGACAAGCGCTGATGCTCTTGTTGTCTCGCGTACGGCGGGGTAGGGTCACTCCCGGCACAAAAGAACTGCGGATAGGAGACGAGAGTTAGTTCAGTTAATTAAATCCCCATTGCATTTAACTGTCTTGAAAAATCCGTTATCAAGCAAAGCGCTGTCGGCTATAAAGTCGCGCGGCGCGCAATAACGTAATTGTTATCCCCTGCGGCTAAAGAGCCCAAAGTGATTCCGGCTGGCCGTTTCAATCGCTTGATACGAATTACGGTGATATTTTTTAATCGGTTTCATCGAATCGACGCGCAAATTTTTCTATTACTCGCGCGCTATCATCCACTTCTCTCGTCCCGATCAAAGACGCGATGTGCCGCGCGTTCGTCGCTCTCTCGCCGCTCTCGATGAACTCTCCGACTCATCTCCGATCGTTATACTCTGGCCTGCCAATGATGAACTTGAGAATAACAATTGACTGTGAAACTCGTTAATTAAAATCGATGTAGGAGGAGCAAGGGATGGGCGACTACCCGGCAAATTAAATTAAGAACTGCACCAATAACAAGAATACTTCCGAGGTTATTAAATATTGTTTTCCTACTTTCTTTATCGCTTGTCGAATTCTGCTAATTCAAACACATTGAGAAAAATCTGATTAAAATTATAGTCATTTTCGGTAGCTTAACTATCTTCTTCTGGTTTTAATAAAAAAATAATAATAGCAATACACATATAAGGTTATTACCGCCGACATTATGGTAACTATTATTGTTAATAATAGTTGTATTAACATATCATTGACATTTCATTGAATTGTGAGAATATTGAAGCAGATTTATATATTTTTACAAACCGCCACTTTATAATTGCCTGAAAATGACCGTGTATAATTCTTCTTTCTATATGATTCTACTGATTTATGTAATTTTGAATCCCATTCTTCTTTTGTGTGACCGAAAGCCACGTATTTTAATTATTTTAATTATTTTTTTGCAAGAGGATCGTTATTCATCAAACAACAATTACAGCAACAGAATAGTGATGTTACATCGATATTATAATTTCCCACTCAACGATATAATTGTTATGCGTACACATGTTATATCACATACGCAATATATGTTATACAACGCTTATACTATTGAGTGCGAAATTATAATATTGGCACAATGTTACTTTTAGTTGATATATTTAATGTATATTTTTTTCTCTCTGTTCGTAAACATTATTCATCTTGAATTCGTAAAATATACATCCGTTGATATGAAATAATTCTATATGAATATTCCAAGGAGTTCTCAGCAATTCTAATTATGGTGCATGTAAATTCTCGAATTTTTTCTACGGTATCCTCCTATGAATTTTTAAAGAATTACAACTCGGGAGGGGAGGAAACGTCGGGAATACTGAACTTCCTACATCACCGTGTTATTTGGACGGTAACACTAAAAGTGTAATCCCTTATATTAAATTCCTAATCTGATATTCTAATGTTTCGTCAAACTAACATTCGATTTTACCGATGACGGTCACGCGCATAGTCAACCAGCGTCGCGGAAGAAAGGCTTCCTCCCACGTTTGGAGTAAGAATGGAATTCCTCATTAGTATTATAGTAGGATGATCTATTTTGGTACAACTGTCGTTAATCTACTCGAACTCTACGCTACATCTGGAACGGCCGTGAGGAATTTCTCTGCGACCACCGAATCGACATATCGGGTTCGGCCGCATTGCGCGAGTCTGGAGAAATTTTCAGCAACGTTCTTTCATCGTATCAGCAGGTCGTCGTCTTCGTCGTACTAAGAACAAGGGGGGAGAGAGGACGAAGGGCAAATCGGTCGGGGAATTTCGCGAAGCGCGTGCGGACGTGAATTTGCGGCTGCGCCGCCGCGCGATTCCCAGTGATATACTCGGTCATTTCGCCGACTGACTCCATAAATACGAGCGACGGATGCTTTGCGCGTGTGTGTACACTCGCGCGGCCTCTCGCCGTCGAAATGAGCGGGCCGCGCGCGGTCGATGCGCATACGAAGTCGCGCGAATTCAAAGTACGCGCGTGCTGATTAATCGTTCGGCACCAGGCTGGCCGGCGCGACGGTGATCGTTCGTGTTTATTGTCGTTTTCCTCGATCGTGCCGCCGTCCGCTGGGCGTCGTCCGCCACTCCGCCGCGGAGTGACGTTTATTTTCATCGCGCTTGAATAACGGCAGATAAATTTGCGAAGGAAATATTACCCGCGCGCTTCTCACGAAATTTTATCTTGCCGCGGCCAGAGGGACGGCCGCCCGCGCCGCGCTATAAATGTCGCGCCATGAATTTCGCGCGCGCTCCCGCCCGACGACGAGCTTTTTTCTCCCGGGCTTTCCAAGATAAAATCACGGACCATCTGGCGCGGATATGCGTTTACAATTACGCCGCGCCGCGAATTGCCTATGTAAATGGCATTCGTCGCTTTCGCGTCCGGCGCGAACGGACCGCGCGCCGCTTTTTTTCGCGATTAATACGCGGCCGTCGCGCTGGAATATCCTCCCCCCCCCCCC